CCCCAGTGCATTATAGTTTCCTCAGGAAGTCGGTGGTGTCTCAAAGAGAGCTAGGAGTGCTGGTAGTGTAGGCTCTGAGGAGAGAGTCCGAATAGCCAGACAATCCTTCTGTAAGAGTGCCAATGCATGACTTGATGGGGCGTCGAGGGTGTCCAGGTTTATGGATTTTGGGTAGCAGATAGAATACCCCTGGTTGGGGCTCTGGGGGTGTGTCTGAGTAGATTTGTTCCTGTGCTATAGCAGGGAGTTTAACTTGAGCAGATGGTATAGTTTCTTTTGGCACTCTTCAGTGGGATTGGAGGATAGTGGCCTGTAGAATGTAGGACAAATACAAGATGTGCAAAATTGGTCGAGATAGGAGAAGAAGGCACGGGGTGAAGGAATGAGGTGTCACCAGGGAAATGAGTGTTTAGGAGAGAAGGGGAGATAGACAAGAAGTAGGAGAGTGTTTTGTGTGCAGGAGCTCTCATGAAAAGGAGGTGCAAGCCAACCATGGTTGGAGAAAATAGGGATGGTAAAGAGAGAACAGGGAGGGAAATGGGGTAAATGGGAGAGGAGAGCAGAGATGTAGACCAGGGGGACAATGTGAAGACCTTGGAAGGTTAGGACAAGTCATCCCAAAGTGAAATCTGGAGTCATTCTGATTTATGCTCCCCCATGCTCACAAGGAATGTTCTCTCTCCTCCAGGTGAACGGAGTGTCCCACAACCTCCCAGTGATTGTGGCTGATGGACAACTTAGAGTGTATCAACATGGCACAAACATTCTGGTGCAAACCAACTTCGGCCTCACTGTGAGCTACGACCTGGTTTACCAGGCCAGGGTCACCATCCCAGAGAGCTACAAGGGCCAGACGTGCGGTCTGTGCGGGAACTACAACGGACAGGAAGATGAGGAGTTTCTGCTCCCTGATGGCAGGACAGCCCCTGATGCAGCAGCATTTGGCTCTGCTTGGGAAGTCCAGATCCCAGGAGCATCCTGTACAGACAGATGTGCTAGAAACAGCTGTCCAGTTTGCGAAGAGAAGAAGGAGGTCTTCAAAGGGCACAACTACTGTGGGCTGCTCACAGATCCTGATGGCCCCTTCACGGCCTGCCACGGCACGGTCAGCCCCATCGTGTATCAGAGCAACTGCCTGTATGATCTGTGCCTGGGCAACGGGGACGCACAGGTTCTGTGCCAGAGCATTCACAGCTACGTGACGGCCTGCCAAGAGGCTGGGGTCCCCATCCTGCCCTGGAGGAACACCTCCTTCTGCTGTAAGTCGCTGATAGTGTAGGAGCTATGGGATGCCCTGCGGAAGGGAGGGGGTCATGTTACTGGGCATCTCATTTCGGGCCTCTGGGCTTCTTCTAGAACTCTTTTGGGTGGGAACCAACAATCTCATGTTTCATTCTAAAGGCGCCCTGTTCCTCTCCTCCCTCTCCTGCTCTCCTCTCCTTCATATCTGTCCCTGTAGGCCGTGGTGTGAGATCTTTCCAGCCATCATTTATTTCTCTCTCTCTATTTAAGCTGTGAGCTGCCCAGTCAACAGCCACTATGAGGTCTGCGCTGACCTCTGTACCACCACCTGCTCTGGAGAAATCATGGACTGCCCAGAGACCTGTGCTGAGGGCTGCCAGTGTGACGATGGCTTCTTCTTCGATGGCCAGGGCTGTATGACTCCAGAAAGCTGTGGGTGCTTCGAACGTGGGAGATATTACAAGGTACCTCCCCCTATTGGAGCTTCTGGATCTGATCTAATTTTTGCTCTGTCCATATCTTAATCCCTACACTGGTCAAGAATATAGGGTTTGCTATACTGGATCAGAGCATTGGTCCATCCAGGATGGCTTCCCTCTCTTCTAGTATCTAATGCTCAAAATGCCAAAAAAGGCCAGTAGATTTTATGCCCTGTGCCTGTTGAGGAGAAACTGAGGCAGAGATAGGCGCAATGACTTGCTCAAGGCCACCTCGTGAGTGAGTAGCAGATGGGAGGTTAAAACCTAAGAATTGTTCCTGGCCTTAAGCCCAGTCCTCACCCCATTACACAGCCTTTCTCTCTAAAGGCAAGAGGAAATAATATTATGACACAATGGACGTTTTTATAGATACATAGATTCTAAGACCTGAAGGGTCCATTGTGATCATCTAGTCTGCCCTTCTGTATAACCCAGGCTAGAGAGCTGCCCCAATATCATTCCGAGAGCACATCTGTTAGAAAAACACATCCAGAGCTCTGGGTTTAGCGCTGTCAAAAATTATTTTAAATAATCATTTCCAGTTACATTCTGTTATTTCCTGTTTTCCAAACATTCCATCAGCCCAATGAGACGGTCCTGACGAATGAGTGCCAGCAAAGCTGCACCTGCGTTCCTGCTCGAGGGGTGACTTGTAAAGCCCACGGCTGCTCCCGAGAAGAAATCTGCCAGATTAGAGATGGCGTCAGAGCCTGCATCAGCAAAGGTACAGGACAGTCATTGTTTGAAACATGCCCTGAAGGGTTATTGTACAGGCAGCGAGTAAGCAGCTGTGGTTTGTCTCCAGACCCTTCTCACTCTCTCTCCTCCTTCATTTAGCCTGGAACTCTGACCCCAATAGTACAGAATTTCAACTGGAAAGATGGGAAGACTTGTTGGGTCTCTCCAGCAGAGTTGGGTGGGCAACTGTCAGGGAGCTGAGCACACTCCATGATTCTCTCTCTGGGCGCAGCCTGGGGGCTGCTATAAACAGAACACCCTGGCTACATACAGTCCCATAGGGACCATCAGTCAGCTGTGCAGTGTCAGAGCCCATCACCTCCCAGCCACTCTCCTTGCCTGCTCCACGCTAGAGGTCTGCTTGGGCCTAATATTTGAGGAGCCCAAGCCCGATAAGGTCAGGTCATTTTCTGATGCAGCCTGACTCTCCCATGAAACCGAATAAGCGCCACGGCCACCTCCCGCCCATGGGGTTGGCACGGCGGAGGCTATGTTCCCTGTTCCTGCCATCCCAATTTTCACAGCCCCCTCAGCTCCCTGTCTGCTCTCATATATAACTGATTAGTCTGGTGTCTCTTGTCTTTCTATTGTCTTTCCCCACTAGTTATTCCATCCTGCAGTGTGGTTCGCTGCAGAGAAGGAACTATTTGCAAGATGATAAATGGGCAGCCAGAATGTGTGCAAGTCTCTCAGGCCACATGCTGGGCTGGGGGTTACTTGCATTACCACACCTTCGATGGACGGGCGTATTATTTCCATGGCACCTGCAACTACATGTTGGCCAAGACCTGCAGGGATGACTCCGTCCTGCCCTCCTTCCATGTCACGGCCAAGATCGAGAACAGGGGGAACACACAGGTCTTCTACATTGGGTCGGTAACTGTCCAGGTGGATGGAGTCACCATCACAGCAGCCAGGGCTGAGGTCGGCTTTGTGGAGGTAAGTGCTGGGTGTGGTCGGTAATTAGGTTACCTTGAAAACATTTACCCAAGGTGTTGCAGGGGGTAGAATTGTTTAAGTAGTAGAGGGTGCTCTCCTCCTGAATTGGTGCTTTCCCTGAAGGCACAGCACTGTACTAGGGGGTGCTGTACTATGTTCAGATGTACAGGTAACCCAGTAGGGTGCACTCTCCCCTTGGAGTCAGTGCTGACCCCAATTCCCATCATGGCAATACCAGGTGGTCTGTCATAGAATGGTGCAGGTGGCCAGCAGGGGGCGCTGACCCAGTTCCGAAGCACTGTGCTTGGCGCTAATGTCAGCAACTGGGACGTGGGTGGTTAGACCTACTGGCTAGAGCAGTGGCAGTCAGGACTAGTAGCCAGATCTGGAGTCAGGAACCAGGAGTTAGAGACAAGGGTCAAAACAACCCCCCCGGGAATTGCGTCACTCGCCAATGGCTCTAACTGACACAGCCCCTTCCCCCTCCCCAGAGCTTCTCCTTAATGACTCTATCCAACGCGGCCCTCCCAGGAGCTGCTCCCTAATGATTTTAACCAACGCAGCCCTCAACCCCGCAGGTGCCGCTCCCTAACAACTCTAACGGACACGCTAGGGTTGCCAGGCATCCTGTTTTCAATCTGAACACTTAGTCGAAAAAGGACCCTGGTGGCTCTGGTCAGCACAGCTGACTGGACTGCTAAAAGTCCGTTTGGCCATAGAGGGGCAGACAGGCACCGTGCCCAGCTCAGCACAGCTCCCGGGAAGCAGCCAACATGTCTCTACGGCTCCTACGCAAAGGGGCAGCAAAGGGGGCACCGCACACTGCCTTCACCTGCAGGCACCGCCCTGAGCACCAGCTCTCCAGCTGGAATTGGCTGGGAACTGTGGCCAATGGAAGCTGCGAGGGTAGGGCCTGTGGGTGGGAACAGTGGACGGAGCCCCCTGGCACGCAGGCGGGCGCAGCACATCGAACCCCGTGACATGCCGCCACTCCCCGGGCATGACACGGACATCCTCCATTCCTGGGAAATTCCGGGGCCGCCTGAGGTCATCGCCACCCGGAGCCCACACCACACAACCCCTCCTGCATCCCACCCCCTACCCCAGCCTGGAGCCCCCGCCCACACCCTGTACCCCTCATTTCTGGCCCCAGCCCAGAGCCCATACCTCCTCCCACACTCCAACTCTCTGCCCCAGCTCGGAGCCCTCTACCACACTCCAAACCCCTCGGCCCCACACCCCAACCTAGAGCTCCCTCCTGCACTCCAAACCCCTCATCCCTGGCTCCACCCCAGAATCCACACTGCCAGATGGAGTCCTCACCCTCTCCTGCACCTGAGTCCCCTGCCCCAGCCCAGATCTCCCTCCCACACTCTAAACCCCTGTGCCCCAGGCCGGAGCCCCCTCCTGCACTCCAAATCCCTCATCCCCGGTGTTACATTCTATACCTTGGGGGAGCATACTGTAATCCCCATATTCCTCATTTTCACATAATCGTGATCTTACATATGAAGTGTGCCTAGTAAGGTATCACGGGAAAGGTCATGATCTGCAGAAAGTCATTTCTCTAGCCATATATGTGTATCATTAATGCACACGAAGTTATGAGAATTGTATTGTATGGTGGTCACTAAAACATGCTGTAAGTTGGGGAATCAGCCAGATATTAGCTCCCCAGAGGCAACAGCAAGGAAAATAACCAATGACTTGGCAGGTGTCAAACAATCCATCAAAAGCCATTGTCCAGCAAGGGAGCTACAATGCAATGACTCACCTGTATGAGACCATACAAGGGAAATTGCTCAGCCTTGCTTGGAGAGACTCAGCAATGCTCCCCAGACATGCCTGGACTTGTGCTCCCCAAACACATGGACTGAGCGTATAAAACAGACAGAGTGGACACACACTGGGCCCTTTTCCTGCCCCCACCTTCCCTTCAAGCACCTAAGACACTGAGAAGAATACAAGACTCCAACAGAGGAGATAGGCCCAGGTTTAAGGAACAGACCTGTATACTAAGGACTGCAAGCTTAGATTTTATTTTATTTTGGTAACCACTCTGACTTTTTGCATATCACTTAATATCACTTAAAATCTAATACATTAATACATTTGTTTGTTTATTCTACCTGAAGCAGTGCATTTGGTTTGAAGCGTGTCAGAGACTCCCCTTGGGATAACAAGCCTGGTACATATCAATTTCTATTCAGGGGCGTGAAAAATCCACACTCCAAGCAATGTAGTTAAGCCATCGTGTGCAGGAAAGTTAAGAATTTAGGATCCCAGTCTTGACTTTTGAAAGTGTGGTTCTATTATTAAACAACTTTCAAAACATTGAAATCCTGCAAAAAGAATTACATTTCTCCACTCAGCTCTATTTAATATGATGTTTTAAAGTAATTCTAGTTCAGATTTGGGTCCAGATTCACTGAGAGATTTGGGTCCAGGTTGCACGCCTTGCTAATCTGAGTAGGGGCCACTTTGCAAATGACAGACTGTTGCACTCAATTGTGACCTTTGCCCTTTCTTTCTCACCGTGAAGGTGAATAACACCAGGGCCCACTTACCCATCTCCCTCAACAACGGGGCCCTTCGGCTCTATCACAGCGGCACCTCCCTCGTCCTCCGCACTGACTTCAACCTCAGCATGTCCTATGACTGGAACAACCACCTGAGGATCACCGTCCCCAGGGTCTTCTCCGACAGCCTGTGCGGCCTGTGTGGCAACTATAACGGGGACCTCTCCGATGACTTCCGGACCCCGGACGGGGACCTGGCTCCCAGTGTCACCGCCCTGGGGAAAAGCTGGGCAGTGGAAGATGAGGATCAGTTTTGCTGGCACGATTGCATTGGAGGTTGCAGGCCCTGTGCCCCCAGCATAGCCAGAAAGTACAAGGAGGAGGCCTCGTGCGGCCTGATATCCAAGGTCTCAGATGGGCCCTTCAGCCAGTGCCACACCAAAGTGGATCCCACAGTCTACTTGGAAAACTGCGTGTACGATCTGTGCCAGAACGACGGCTACCGGAAGGCCCTGTGTGAGGCCCTGAAGGCCTATGCAGACGCCTGCCAGCTGGAGGGGGTCAGGATTGGGGAATGGAGGCAGCTGGCCAGATGCTGTGAGTACAGATTTGTATGCAAAGGTCTACGGTCTGCTGGTTAGACTGGGGAACCTGGAACTCAGCACTCTTGAGTTCTAGCTCTGGATCGAGTGGTTTGGGATTGAGCAGTGATTGGGAAATCAGCACTCCTGGGTTCTATTGTACCCACAGTGTTTGTCTGTCAGTGGTATTGCTAAGGTGCCTGTCACTTTGAGTATCTAACGCCCACTGATAACTCATGGATGGTTGGGGTAAAATGACGCCAGATTTTAAGTTACTCTTCCTACCATGGACCTAATCCTGTAAGGTGCTAATCACCTCCTGCAGTGTGCTGAGCACCCTCACCTCCTGCTCAGATCACTGGGATTCGAGGCTCTCAGAGCCCCACAAGATACATCCCCCTCTGCCTATTTTAAATACTGCTTTTGCTTGGAGAGAACTTGCTGCTAAATCTATGGGTCCTTCACTCTCCAGCCATGGAGTGCCCCCTCGAGAACAGCCAGTACCAGATCTGTGGAACAGCCTGCCCAGCCACGTGTGTGGACCAGTCAGCCCCCAGCAGCTGCCAAGACCCCTGCGTAGAAAGCTGCCAATGCAAGGATGGTTTTGTGCTGAGCCAGGGCAAATGCATCCCCAAGAGCGGCTGTGGGTGCCTATTCGAGGGGCGCCCCTATGCCCCCAACGAGAGCTTCTGGGTCGATGAGGCATGTGGGACACGGTGCATATGCAATGCAACCACTAGGCAAGTCGAATGCGTGACCGCCATGTGCAAACAGTCGGAGAGGTGCGGGCTAGTGAATGGTGTACGGGGCTGTTACCCCTCCAGCTATGCCACCTGCTCTGTGACAAGGAATCTGCACTACACCACCTTTGATGGACAGAGATACGACTTCCAAGGCACCTGCCGCTACCAGCTCACGGCTCTGTGCAAGAAGGCAGAGGGATTGGTGGACTTTGAAGTCTACTTCCAGCAGAACAATACCGTTCCTGTACAGATCAAGGTGTATCAGACCAACCTCAGGGTCAGCAATCAATTCCCTGGGAAAGTCCTGGTGAGTTTCTCAAATTGTCTCTAATCTCTCTAAAACTTTTGGGGAAAGTCACCTGTGTGATCTAGAAAACTTGCAAACAGTGCATGGAAGGATTTTGAAATATAGGGTGAATATATTGTTCTATAACCAGGGAGCCAATGGAGATATTTAAGGATTGGGGTGATGTGGTTACACTTTGGATTTGTGAGAAGGTGTCTGAATCATATAATCGTAGGGCTGGAAAGTACCTCGAGAAGTCATCTAGTCAAGTCCCCTGCACTCATGGCAGGATTAAGTATTATGTAGACCATCCCTGACAGGTGTTTGTCTAACCTGCTCTTAAAAATCTCCAATGATGGATATTCCACAACCTCCCTGGGCAATTTATTCAAGTGATTTACAACCCTGGGAGTTAGGAAGTTTTTCTTAATGTTCAACCTAAACCTCCCTTGCTGCAATTTAAGCTCATGGCTTTTTCTCCTATCCTCAGAGTTTGAGAACAGTTTTTCGCCCTCCTCCTTGTAACAACCTTTTAGGTATTTGAACCACAAGGAGTCCGGTGGCACCTTAAAGACTAACAGATTTATTTGGGCATAAAGTTTCGTGGGTAAAAAACCTCACTTCTTCAGATGCGTGGAGTGAAAGTTACAGATGCAGGCATTATATAACCTCACAAGTGGAGAACCAGTGTTGACAGGGCCAATTCGATCAGGGTGGATGTAGTCTACTCCCAATAATAGATGAGGAAGTGTCAATTCCAGGAAAGGCAAAGCTGCTTTTGTAGTGAGCCAGCCACCCCCAGTCCCTATTCAAACCCAAATTAATGGTGTTAAATTTGCAAATGAATTTTAGTTCTGCTGTTTCTCTTTCAAGTCCGTTTCTGAAGTTTTTTGTTTAAGAATAGTTCTTTTAAATCTGTTATAGAATGTCCAGGGAGACTGGGTTCTAATCAGCGCAGAGTAGAGCAGAAGAATTACTTCTTGTGCCTTGCTTAAAACACTCTTGCTAATACATCCCAGAATGTTTGCTTTTTCTGCATCAGTGTTACACTGTTCAATCATATTTAGCTTGTCATAGAATCATAGAATCATAGAATATCAGAGTTGGAAGGGACCTCAAGAGGTCATCTAGTCCAACCCCCTGCTCAAAGCAGGACCAATTCCCAGCTAAATCATCCCAGCCAGGGCTTTGTCAAGCCGGGCCTTAAAAAACC